CTACAAGTTGGGCAGCTTGGGCGTTTATACACCGAGCTCCTTGGCCGACCAAGCGACGTGATGCATACATCGAGCCCCTCTCAGTCCAGGAGCCGTTTCCCTCATGCCAAAGAGGAGGCGGTGGGTGAGCGATAGAAGAAGGTCGTAAGTTTTTTGCCGCCCCTGGGAAGTCCCTGGATGTCCGCAGAGGTTCTCGGAGGCCCCTGGAGGCCTCCCGAGGCCGACAAGAGCAGAACACAGGAAATTGCTGTGGGACGCGTAAGAACCGATCGAACGCGTCCAAGAATTGTTAACTGCGTGGAGCTCACTGTATGTGCATCTATTTGCATTGACCTTCCCGCAGTGCGTGTCTACGCGCAAGAAACTTCGAATCCAAACGGGCTTCAGTATTGTCATGGCGTGCGTTGGAGTGTTGATGCGTTTCAATAGTACGAGTGAGTATATGTGCATGGGTCTGAGCATGTCTAAACTTAGGGTGGGTGTATCTGCGCGTCAATGGCCTGAGCATTACAGAGCGTAACTGAGTCGAACGGCTACGCGATCCTCCGACAGTGGTGAATCCAGGGCATCGGGGTGCTCATGCAAACGCCGTGCGAAACATTTGCGCTTCGTTGGCCGGCCCAGAAGATCTCATGCAGTGGCTGGACCATGATACACCCGGCCAAGTCATTGAGATGAGAGGCCCAATCGATAGGAACATCAGACAAACATCGATGACTCGAACCACTGGCCGGGGGTAATCTAAAGGAACATGCGTACAACATCAAGGGATCGTGCCCCAGGGGAGGCCCGATCTATAGAAACCTACGGGGCACACTTAGGATTGGAGCCACAGGGTAGGGGCAATCTATATGAGCATCAGTAAACCACCATCGGAACATTAGTAAACCACCAAGGCTTCGTGTTCCAGGGGGGGGGGGCAATCTTCAGGAACATACGTAAAACACGTAGGGCTGGAGCCACAGGAGAGTGGCAACATGTAGGAACATATATAAACCGCATCGGATTCGGCCCAGTGTATAGGAACATATGCAACACACAGGATCGGAGCCACAGGGGACGGGCAATCTGTAGGGGCATGCGTACAACACAGGATTCGTGTCCCAGGAGAGGGAACATTCTTAACACACGTAGGATTGGAGCCATTCCTGTGGCCTCCTGGAGTCTTCAGGGGCCTCCTGCGGCTTCCTGGAGCCTCTTGGAGCCTCCTGGAGCCTCCTGGTGCCTCCTGGTGTTTCCTGGTGCCTCCCGAAGCCGCCTGGGGCGTCCTGAGGCCTCCTGGGGCCTCCTGGTGCTTCCTGGTGCTTCCTGGTACCTCCTGGTGCCTCCTGGGGCCTCCTGGAGCCTCCTGGGGCCTCCTGGGGGGGATTCGTGTCCCAGGAGATGCCCGCTCCATTGGAACAGATGTCAAACACTTCGGGTTGGAGCCACAGGAGAGGGGCAATCTATAGGTACATAAGTATAACACAAAACGAGTCGCGTTCCAGGAGAGTCCCACACTATATGAACAAACGGAAAACACGTAGGACTGGCGCAACAGAAGAAGGGCAGTCCATAGAACAACTTGTAAAACACAAAACGGATTTGGATTCCAGGAGAAGCCCAATATGTGCAAACACATGCAACACCCATATTTTTGAGCCACTCCTGTAGCCTCCTGGGGCTTCCCTAAGCCTCTTGCAGCCTCGTGGGGCATCTTGAGTCCTCCTGGGGCCTCCTGGGGCCTCTTGAGGCCTCCTGGGGCTTCCTGGTGCCTCTTGGAACCTCTTCGGGCCTCATGGGGCCTCTCGGAGCCTCCTGGGACTTCCTGGGGCCCCCTGCGGCCTCCTGGAACCTCCTGGGGCCTCCTGGTGAGGATTCGTGCCCCAGGATGGGCCCAGTGTATCGTAACATATGTAAAACACGCCGGATTGGGACTACAGGAGGGGGGCAATCTATAGGAACACAAGTGAACACACAAACGATCCGTGCCCCGGATGAGTCCGGCCCAATCTATAGGAACACTTGTAAAACGCCTAGGGTTGGAGTCGCAGGGGGGGAATCTATGGGGACACGCGTAAACCACCAGGGATCTGACTTGAGCGCAGACGAGTCTGGCCACCCCAGCAGGCACACCTTTCGAGGCGCAATCTGTGCCGCCTGGGATGCGAAAGCCAGCGCCTCGCCCGAGCCATCTTCAGACTCTGCTCCGAAAGCGGAGGCTGTTGGGGCGGTTGCACAGGCTGACCGCTTTAACCATCTCCAGAGTCTTGGGCGCGAACGGATTTAGACCCCCGACGTCATGATTTTTTCATGACGTCGACCCCCAGAGGTTTGGACCCATTCCCCAGGACCGGTTTTTCATCCTGAATCGTTTTTTGACGGTCCTGAGGCCCGGTAGGGGCCCCCAAAAGCCACAAATATGGAGAAACCTCCCGTCGTGATTCTTTCATGACTCGAGGGGGTCTGGGGAGGAGGCAGATACCCTCTGGCGGCTCCCCGTTGGGTGTGCTGGCGCCAGCGCCTCGTCCGAGGTATCCTCGGAAGCTGCTCTGAGCGCAAGCGAGGCCTGACCACCCAAACGGGGCGCCCGCGCGTGGTGTCCTCACAAGCTGGGCTCCCTGGGTGCGAAGACCAGCGCCTCGCCCAGGAGGAAGAGGAGGAGGAGGAGGAGGAGGAGGAGGAGGAGGAGGAGGAGGAGGAGGAGGAGGAGGAGGAGGAGGAGGAGGAGGAGGAGGAGGAGGAGGAGGAGGGAGGAGGAGGAGGAGGAGGAGGAGGAGGAGGAGGAGGAGGAGGAGAGAGGAGGAGGAGGAGGAGGAGGAGGAGGAGGAGAGGAGGAGGAGGAGAGGAGGAGGAGGAGGAGGAGGAGGAGGAGGAGGAGGAGGAGGAGGAGGAGGAGGAGGAGGAGGAGGAGGAGGAGGCTCGCCCGAGACACCCTCAAACTCTGCTCCTAAAGGAGAGGATGTTGGGGCCGTAGAACGAGCAAGCCGCTCGGAGACAACCCCGCAATCTGGGCGCGAACGGAGGAGCGAGTGAGGTACCCGCTGGCGTCCCCCCTACATGGGGTGCTGGAACCAGCGCCTCGCCCGAGACGTCCTCAGAGTCTGCTCTGTCATCACAATCATTAGCCTCACCATCAGCATCATCATCATCATCATCATCATCATCATCATCATCATCATCATCATCATCGTCATCATCAACATCATCATCATCATCAGCATTATCATCATCAACAGCATCAGCATTATCATCATCATCATCATCATCATCATCATCATCATCATCATCATCATCATCATCATCTTCATCATCATCATCATCATCATGATCATCATCATCATCATCATCATCCCCATGAGCACCATCAACATCATAATCATCACCATCGTCATTGTCATCGTCAGCATCATCAGCATCATCATCACCATCATCACCATATTGTAGCCTGAGTATTGTCCCTGAGTGTGACTCTGAGTGGCACTAAGTACTGAGGAGGAGGAGGAGGAGGCGGAAAAGGAGGAGGAGCAGGAGCAGGAGCAGGAGCAGGAGCAGGAGCCGGAACAGGAGGAGGTTTTGGTGTGAGGACTCGGCGCCGTCGGAGTAATAACACTAATCCCGTCCTTAGGATGTGGGGGAACACGCCTTCGATCCTCACGGGTCGGGGGCAAAACTCAGCAGACGGCGGTGCAGGAGGGAGAAAGTGTCTGCTCACCCATGGGTCGATCCTTGTCAGCCACAACGCCGCCATCAGCGCCTGCGAGAAAGGTGGGCACTGGCAGGGGGCGCTGGTGCTGCTGCGGGAGCTGCGGGGTTCGGAGCTAGAGCTCGACGTCGTCAGCTACTGTGCTGCAGCGAGTGCTTGCGAGAAAGGCGCACAGTGGCAGCATGCATTGCTTCTTCTGGGGGAGCTGCGGGAGGCCAAGCTCGAGTCAGACATCGTCAGCTTCAACGCGGGGATCAGCGCGTGCGAGAAGGGAGGAGAGTGGCAGCAGGCGCTGTCACTCGTGAGGGAGCTGTCTGAACTGAAGCTGGAAAAGGATACAATCACTTACAACGCTGCAGCCACTGCGTGCGAGAAGGGTGCGCAGTGGCAGCAGGCGCTGTCGCTGCTCAAGGAGATGCGAACAGTGATGGTGGAACGGGACGTCACCAGTCTCTCCGCAGGAATCAGCGCTTGCGAGAAGGGTTCACAGTGGCAGCATGCGCTGTTATTGTTGGCGGACTTTCGGGAAGCGCAGCTGCTGCCCGACACCATCAGCTATAATGCTGGAATCAGCGCTTGCGAGAAAGGTCGGCATTGGCAGCAGGCGTTGTCGTTGCTGAGAGGGCTGCGGGACGCCAGCCTTGAAACAAGCACCATCAGCTACAATGCCTGCATTAGTGCATGTCAGAAAGGCGGAGTTTGGCGACAGGCGATTTCTTTGTTCAACGAGATTGAGAGGGTGAGATTAGAGCACTCCACTATCAGCTACGGTGCTGGAATATGTGCTTGCAAGAGCGCGCTGGTGTGGCAGGACGCCTTGTGGCTACTGAGGGGTATGCTAGATAATCGTTTGGCACCAGACGCAAGCTGCTACGTCGCTGCGATCGGTGCGTGTGAGGGTCGTGGGCGTGGGCAGTGGCAGCACGCGTTGCTGTTATTGAGGGAGATGCTGGAATCAAGATTGGAGCCAGATGTTTCTGGTTACACGGGTGTGCTCGGCGCGTGCCAAGGTCGAGGGCAATGGCAGCAGGCTTTGTGTTTGTTGAGGGAGATGGCAGAAGTGGTGCTGGAGACAAGGACTGTCTCGCACTACCTTGGAATCAAAGCGTGCGAGAGATGTGGACAGTGGCAACATGCATTATTGCTGTTTGGGGATATGTGGGAAGCACGGTTGGAGATGGGAGCTTACGGTTATGGTCTGGGGATTAATGCGTGCGTGAACGGCGGGCATCGGCAGTTCGCATCTTTGTTGTTGGATGAGTTGGCGAATTGTGGCCTTCAGCCACAACATGTCGACATCCCAGCAGAGGCCTAGCTAATATGTCCTTGCTCAGCCTCCTAGCTGACTGCTCAGACCGAGGCCCTCGAGTTTTTTAGCATCGGTATCGGACGACGTCCCATCCACATCTCGACTCCTGTAGGACGACGTGGCTTCACAGAAGAGCTTGGCATCTCTTTCATACATATCGTATGGCGGGACTTCTGACCACTTTGCGATTCGCTGCAAGACCAGAGCATGCCCCGTAGATGTCGCGACGGTCGCCAGGGGGCGATGTTGTCGCCTCGTTTGCAGGGGGGGCCGACTCCTTGGCGGCAGCCGACGCGTGGCCCAGACCATCGTGGGGCTGCGGGAGGAGCATCGTGACGCGGCACGGCCAGGAGACCACGAGCGCTGTGCGCCTTGACGTCGATGCCCCTGAGGATGCTCCTGAGCACCAGGCTTAGCGGTGAAGTGGAAGCCGCACCAGCAGTGGAGCACTTTCCGCACGGCCGCCTGGCGCGGCGCACGGCCCTGCCTTCCCTCGCTGCCTGATCGGAGCGGCGGTCCAGCCAGCCCAGCCTGGGCACCCGCAAGAGGCGATTGCCTGCAACACAGCCGGCCAGGCGCCCCACAAGGGGGGGGGTGACCCAGACATTCGGAGGTGGGTAGACCTCCTATCCTGACACGTCGATTAGCGAATTGGCCGTTTTCGGTTCGCGAGAGGGCGTCGCGGCCGTCATTTTTGCGGGTCCAGGCCCCTCGGTGTCGGTCCCAAGCCGTTTTCATGAAGGGGAGGTCTGCGAAAGGGAGGTCTCTCCACCGCCGAGACGTGCCGCGTCCTGAACATCTGGACGGAGGTCTTCCTCAAGTCTCGGCCTCTGGGGGCCCACGCCGGGCCCCCAGAGGCCGTCGCGCAGACGGCTCGCGATGAGGCGACGGCCACGGGGCAGTCCAGGCCTCCCAGCTGGGGCCAGAGCAGGTGTGGTCGGCGCATCCTGCCGCATCGGCGGCGCATCGGCGATGCGGCCCGATGTGGAGCCCGAATCGCTCCGCGCCGGCGTCGCTGATGCACCAGCCACGTCGACGATGCATCGCTGGTGCATCGCCGTATGCATCACCGAGGCTTCGGCGAGGCATCGGCGATGCAGCGCGGTCCTCCGACCCCGTCTACTCGGACCCCACCCAGGATCGGGGGAGCGTAAGACCCGGGTTTGCCGGGACTCGGGTTCGCCACCGTTTTTTGACGACCGCGCCTCGGATTTTGACGAGGAGGAGTTTCGTGGGATGTCTGCAGCGGGAGGCCTCGTCAAAATGCAGGCTCGGCCTCGTCATTTTTTTGAGGACCTCGTCGGGGATTTCCGAGTCCCCTGTACCCAGGTCTTACGTCCCCCTGACAGGAGGCCTCTTGGAGGGGTTCGGGACTTCGGGGGGCCGCGTAGCGACGCGGCCCGATCACACCGCATGCCCGGGGAGCGAGAGGGGGCCCCGCCCCCGCCAGCAGGCGGCGGGCCCTCCGAGCCCTCTGCGAAGGCCCGCCCCCTCTGCTTCGCCCTCCTCCTCCTCCTCCTCCTCCTGCTGCTCCTCCTCCTCCTCCTCCTCCTCCTCCTCCTCCTCCTCCTCCTCCTCCTCCTCCTCCCCCTCTTCTTCCTCCTCCTCCCCCTCTCTCCCTCCCCCTCTCCTCCTCCTCCTCCTCCTCCTCCTCCTCTCCTCCCCCTCCTCCTCCTCCTCCTCCTCCTCCTCCCTGCCCCTCCCCCCCTGCTCGCGCCGCCGAGGTCTCGAGGGGAAGCCGCCGCCAAAAGTGGCCCGTGGCGCATTGTGTCTGGTCGTTGGTAGCGAGGGGCTGCCAGAGCGGAGTTTTGCCCCGCAGCGACAGCGCGCTTTCAGCGCGGTCGACGGCCGAACTCTTCGGCGGCACCCCCGGCGCCCTGCGCCACGGGCGAGCCCCCGCAGCGGGCCGCACAGCGCCCATAGGGGAACAAAAAAGCGACATAGGGGAACAAAAAAGCGACATAGGGGAACAAAAAAGCGACATAGGGGAACAAAAAAGCGACATAGGGGAACGAGGGGGGCTACCACAGGGGAACAAAGAGCGACATAAACATAAAAACTCGGAGGTCCGCGCGGGTTTCTCGGATCGGCGCTGGGGGGCCCCCCGGCGGCGCCTCCGTGCGCCGCCCCCGGCGCGCTCTCCGCGCGCCGGGGCCGGGGAGGGGGGGTCCAGCGCCGATCCGAGAAATCCGCGCGGACCTTCGAGGTTTCCTCCTCCTCCTCCTCCTCCTCCTCCTCCCTCCCTCCTCCTCCTCCTCCTCTCCTCCTCCTCCTCCTCCTCCTCCTCCTCCTCCTCCTCCTCCTCCTCCTCCTCCTCCTCCTCCTCCTCCTCCTCCTCCCCCCTCCTCCCCCCTCCTCCTTCCTCCTCCTCCTCGAAGCGCCGCCCCTGGAGCGCGGAGCGCGCCATCCGCGGTGCCCGCCAGGGGGAGCCAGCGCAGATCAAAGAAACCGCGCGGACCCGCGAAAGCTAGTGTTAAGTCGGGCCTGTCCCCTATTCCGGCCTCCTAGATGGGGCCGGAGTAGATGGGGTCGAAGGAGCGCGCCGCATCGCCGATGCATCGCCGATGCGGCTGGATGTGGAGCCCGATTTGCTTCACGTCGACGTCGCCGATTCATCGCTGACGTCGACGATGCATCGCTGGTGCATCGCCGATGCATCGCCGATGCATCGCCGATGCATCGTCGATGTATCGTCGATGCGGCGCCATCCTCCGACCCCATCTACTCGGACCCCATCTAGGAGGCCTCTACCTATGCAGGGGGGTTTTGGACGAAACATAAAGAATACCCCAGACATAGTCCAAAAGCGTTGCAAAAATAGTCTGGGGGGACTGTTGTTTGAGATTTTTTTTTTGCGATTTCGGAGTAGTTTCGGGGTATTTCTCATTTTTCGTCGAAGATCTTCTGTAGGGGGACAGGCCCGACTTAACGCTCGCGCAGATCTGCCCCAGGCTTCGCGTCCTTTGACTGCGGGTGGCCGCTCCTGGGGCCGTGGTGGTTCCACTTGCCTGCAAGCTGTGTCGATTGCGAGTGTAACAGAGTGCTGCAGGTCCTTCTCGACTCTGTCCTTGCTTTCCCTCCTGCCTCCGTTTGCGTTCTGCTCGCCCGCCTGTCTTTCTCGGGACACCTGCTGCAGGGTTGCTTGTGTGGCGTTCCTGGCCCACCTGGCGATCGCCAGCCTCGCGTGGCCGTGGCCTCTCGGACGGCCCTGCCCCGTCCGGCAGGTCTGATCACGGACGTGTCAAATGCGCGCGCGTTCTCTCTCTCTCTCTCTCTCATTCTCTCTCTTTCTCTCTCTCTCTCTCTCTTTCTGTGTGTCCATGCGTGTGCAGCAGCTTTGCGCCGCCTCGGCCGCGGCGGCGACGCTGGCGCGGGCGTTGAGGGTTGAGCATCCTCCGGGGCGCTCCAGCGTCGTTGCTGCTGCCGATGATGCTGCTAATGATGCTGCTGCTGCTGCTGCTGCTGATGATGATGATGACGATGATGATGATGATGATGATGATGATGATGATGATGATGATGATGATGATGATGATGATGATGATGATGATGATGATACTGATGATGTGGATGATGGTGCTGATGCTGGTGCTGATGCTGATGCTGATGCTGGTGCTGGTGTTGGTGCTAATGCTGATGCTGGTCATAGTGATGCTGGTCAGGATGAGGACGAGGATGATGGTGATACTGCTGCTGTTGATGATGATGGTGGTGATGATGATGCTTATGGTGATGATGCTGATGATGCTGATGATTCTGCTCATGATGCTGATGATGCTGAAGATGATGGTGCTAAGGCTGCTGTTGATGCTCATGCTGATGCAGATGGTGCTGCTTGGTATGGTGATTGTGATGATGCTGAGGACGAGGATGATGCTGCTGATGACAATGGTGATGATGCTGATTATGATGATGCTGATGATGGTGAGGATGATGATGACGGTGGTGGTGGTGGTGATGATTGTGAATATGAGGATGATGATGATGATGATGATGATGATGATGATGATGATGATGATGATGATGATGATGACGATGAGGATGACGATGACGGTGATGATTACAATGCCAATGCAGGTGCCGATGCGGATGATGATGCTGTTGCTGCTGCTGATGATGATGTTGCTGATTCTGATGACGGTTATGGCAAGGACGATGAATTTGATGATGGTGATGATGATGATAGTGGTGGTGGTCATGGTGATGGTGATAGTGATGGTGGTGATGATCGTGTTGATGATGATGCTGATGATGATTAGGAGGATGCCCGCGCCATGGAAGAACTCATGGCACGGATGCCGTCGCGCAAGAGACGAGCCGGGGTGGGTGCCGCAGCAGCGGCGAGGGAATTGCAGTCCTCCATTGGATGCTAATAGCGACGCGCTCCTTGAACGAATGCGTGAGTGAGGGTGAGTGCCTATCTGTGGACGTACCTATGCCTCACACGCTGGTTTCAAGTCGCTTTTTTCACCCTCGGGAATGAGTGAACATGGATCGAACTAGCGAGTGGTCGAGAGCTTGCTATCTTTTTTGGCTCGGTGCTTTGGGAGGGAACGCAGCCGCGGCAGCGACACCGCCAGGGGCGTTCAAGGTTGAACGACGCCAGTGGCCCAGAACCAGCCAATACGGAATGATGTGGGGATCTAAAATCCGCCGATCGTTCAAGGCTGGATGACCCACGCAGTGTCAGAAACTATCTCGGACTCGTCACGACGCGAACCTGTCACACTGGGGTACTGGGACCAGCCCCCCGACCTCGTGATTTCTTCACAATGCAGGCCCACCCGAAGTCTCGATCCACCCGGAACCAGCTTTCTCTTTGACGCTCTTGGGTCCCCGCGAGGCCCCCATGGGGGCGAAAATGGCCCGTAATGTTTGTTCCCCGCATCTTGATGCTATTCATACTACTACGACTTCTACTTCTACTGCTATTATCTCCCCGTCTACGAGTTCTACTATCACTAATATTTATACTACTACCGCTACTGCCACTACTACTACTGCTA